CCCCCCCGGCTGCCACCCCTTGCCTGGGCTTTTTTCAGTATCGCACCACATCAGACCCCATATTGGGATGTTGCTGGAGCTGTGGACTATTTGGCTATCCCTGCAGAACTCTAGAATGGATGGGGTTTTTTAAAGGATGTTTTGTATTTTCTTTTTCCTCAATTAAATGTACAAATTTTCAACATTAATTTTTCATAATTTTTGAATTCCAAATTCTCCTCTTCCCTCTCTTTCCTCCCCCCTCATCAAGAAGTTAAGTACTTTGATATTGATTATACCTGTGCAGTCATGCAAAACATATTTCCATATTAGCTATGTTGCAAAAGAGAACAGAGATTTAAAAAAAAAGAAGAAGAAAGAAAGTTTAAAAACTCACTTCAGTCTACATCCAGACTCCATCAGTTCTTGCTCCGGAGGTGCAGAGCATTTTTCATCTTAAGTTCTTTGGGACCATCCTAGATCACTGTATTGCAGAGAATCGTGGAGTCATTTACAATTCATCATACAATGTTGCTGATCTTGCATACAATGTTCTCTTGGTTCCGTTCACTTGGTTCACTCAGCATCAGTTCATGCAAGTCTTCCCGGAATTTTCTGAAACCATCCTGCTTCTCATTTCTTACAGCACAGTAATATTTCATCAAAGTCATACACCACAGCTTGTTCAGCCATTCCCCAATTGAGGGGCATCCCCTCAATTTCCAATTCTTAGTCACCACAAAAAGAGTTGCTATAAATATTTTTGCATAAATAGGTCCTTTTCCTTTTTCTTTGATCTCTTTGAGATATAGACTCAGTATGGTATTGCTGGGTCAAAGGATATGGTTTTATAGCCCTTTGGGCATAGTTCCAAATTGCTCTCCAGAATGGTTGGATCAGTTTACAACTGCCTTTATGTCCCAGATTTCTCACATCCCTCCAATATATATTATTTTCCTTTTCTGTCATATTAGCCAATCTCATGGTTGTGAGTGGTACTTCAGAGTTATTTTAATTAAGTTTAATTAATTAAACACCAAATTGGAAATCTTAAAAATTAAAGCTGAAATCAATAAAATTGAATGCAAGAAAACCATTGAATTAATAAATAAAGCTGGGAGTTGATTTTATGAAAAAAAGTCAATAAAATAGATAAACCACTGGTTAATATGATTTTTTAAAAAGAGAAGAAAAGCAAATCACCAGTATCAAAAATGAAAAGGGTAAATATACCACTAAAGAAGATGAAATCAAAGCAGTTGTTAGGAGTTATTTTGCCCAATTATATGCCAAAAATTTAATCATTTAAGTGAAACAGAAGAAAACTAACAGAAATATAAACTGCCCAGATTAACAGAAGAGGTAATAGAATATCTAAATAAACTTATTTAAGAAAAAGAAATTAAACAGGCCATAAATGAGCTTCCTAAGAAAAAAGCATCAGGACCGGATGGACTTAGAAATGAACTCTACCAAACATTTAAAGACCAATTAATTTCAATACTAAATAAATTATTTGGAATAATAGACAAAGGAGTCTCATGAAACTCCTTTTATGCAACAAATATGTCACTGACACCTAAAACAGGAAGAGCAAAAACAGAGAAGAAAATTCTAGACCAATTTCACTAATGAATATGGATGTAAAAATCCTAAGTAGAAACTAGCTAGGAGACCACAGCAGTATACACAAAGATTACTCATTGGAACCAAGAGGGATTTATACTAGGAATGCAGGGCTGGCTTAACATAAAGAAAACTACAGGGTATTCATAACAAAAGTAATAAAAAAAATCATATAATTATATCAATGGATATAGATGCAGAAAAAGCTTTTGACAAAATACAAGTTGTTCCTGTCAAAAACACTTGAAAGCATAAGTAGAAATGGATTTTTTCCTTAAAATGATAAGAAGCATCCACCTCAAACAATCAGCAAGCATTATCTGTAATGGGGATAAGCCAGAAGCCTTCCCAATAAGATCAGGAGAGAAGCAAGGATGCCCATTATCACTCAATAGTGCATTAGAAATCCTAGCAATAGGGGCAGCTAGGTGGCGCAGTGGATAGAGCACCGGACCTGAAGTCAGGAGGACCTGAGTTCAAATCCAGCCTCAGACCAAACACACTTGACACTTACTAGCTGTGTGACCCTGGGCAAGTCGCTTAACCCCAATTGCCACAAAAAGAAGAAAAAAAAGAAAAAGAAAGAAATCCTAGCAATAGCAATAAGAGAAGAAAAAGAAAGCAAAGAAATCAGAATGGGCAATGATAATAAAACTATCTCTCTTTGCAAACAATATGATGATATATCTGAAAAATCCTAGACACTAGACTATTTGGCTATCCCTGCAAAACTCTAGAATTGATGGTTTTTTTTTAAAGAATGTTTTTTTATTTTCTTTTTCCTCAATTAAATGTACAAATTTTTTAACATTAATTTTTCATAATTTTTGAATTCCAAATTCTCTTCTTCCCTCCCCAAACAACAACTTTAGCAAAGTAGCAGGATATAAAATAAACCTCCATAAATTATCAGTATTTCTATAGATCACCAGCAAAACCCTGCAAGAAAAAATAGTAACCATAGACAGCATACAATATCTGAGACTCCACCTGCCAAGACAAACCCAGGAATTACATGAACATTATTATAAAACACTATACAAATAAAGTCAGATTTAAATAATTGGAGAAATATTGATTATTCGTGAGTGAGCAGAGACAATATGATAAAAATGTCAGTTCTACCTAATCTATTTACTCAATGCCATCACAATTAAATTACCAAAAATTTATTTTATTGAGCTAGAAAAAAATAACAAAATTCATTTGGAAGAACAAAAGGTCAAGAATATCAAAGGAATTAATGAAAAAAATGTAAAGGAAAGAAGTTTAGCAATACCAGATCTTAAACTATTATAATGCAATACTTATCAAAATTATCTGGTATGGGCTAAGAAATAGAAAGGTGGCTCAGTGGGAAAGAACAGACATACAATTCACAGTAGAAGATTATTATAGTAACCTTGTGTTTGACAAACGTAAAGATTTAAGCTCGTGGGATAAGATCTTACTATTTGGTAAAAATTGCTGGGAAAGCTGGAAAGCCGTCTGGCACAAACTGGCTACAGCAGCATCTTACCCCCTTCACCAAGATAAAGTCAAATTGCACCCATTGCCCAGACACAAAGGGAGAGATTGCAAGTGAATGAGAAGAACATGGAATGTGTTACCTGTCAGACTCACGGATAGGAGAAGAGCTCGTGGATAACAAGGGATGGAGAGCATGGAGAGATGTGACATGGATAATTCAGATACATTAAATTAAAGAGTTTTTGCACAACGAAACCAAACAGAAAGGCTGTGCTCAGGCCCCCCTTTTGCCACATCCTGGCTGGGTGACTCACCCTCTCAGTGCTACAGGCACCTCTTTCGGCGGTGGGGGAAAGAGAGCACCCCCCATGTGCCTGGCACTGTGCTAAGGCTTTACAAATACTATTTCATTCGCTCCTTTAAGATGCCAGATTGCAGAGGAGTGCTACCGGCATCGGCGGAGGGAGTTTTCTGGAGCTCTCTGTACAAATGAATACACAATCTTGGCCCTGTCCTCTCCGTAGGACCAAGCGAGGTGGCGTCATCCGTGGCCAAGAGCGCGCATAGCTTCATCAAACACAGGCTGCACCGCCAACCTTATCTCCATGTGATGTAGGACGGCTCTTGCCGAGAAGATCAGGGGAGTCTCGCGTCTTTCTGATGGTCATTGAAATAGTGACCCCTGGACCAGGGGTGGGGAGCCTGAGGTCTCAAGCCACACATGGTCCTGTAGGTCCTCAGGTGTGGCCTTTTGACTGAGTCCAAGTTGTACAGAGCAAATCCTTTTAGGAAGGGGATTTGTTCTGTGAAGTTTGGACTCAAAGGGCTACATTTGAGCACCCAGAGGGCCACGGTGGCCTTGAGGCCACAAGTTCCCCAGCCCTGGTCTGGACCTTTGATTCAGGGACCAAGCCCTATCCAGCCTTGGTGGGAGCCGCTGGGCAGCCTCCAGCCTGCCCAGAATCCTCCCCCTCTTCCTACAGGGGCGTTGGATGTGTGGGAAGTTAGCCCAGGTCCTGCAGAGGGGAGGCCGGGCTGGTTGGCTGTGCCTAGGCTGCAGCGATGGCCCAACCTCAGGGGCTTCATGGGGAGGGGTTGAAGAGGCAGCAGGTGTGCCAAGTGGCTCAAGAAGCCAGCAGGTGCCAGAGGACAGGGGACTCTGAGCAGGTTTTATTGCAGGCCAATCGAACCTGTCAGCATGGGTGACCTCACCCTTCCTGACCAAGGAATAAAGGGCCCAAGGAAGGGCCTGCAGCTGCTCTTCTCTCCTGCCTTGGCGTGTCGGGGTCTGGCACCTCCTGCAGATGGACCGGGCGGAGCCACTGGGATCAGCGCCTGGGGACCACTCCTCCTCCGCAGACCTTCTGCTGCTGCCGCTCCCCACAGAGCCCAGCCTCAACCAGTAAGTGCGTCTGGCCGCCAGCCCATCGCCGGGGCCCCCTTGCAGGCTCTGCCCGTAAAGGGGCCACAGGTTGAGCTCCGCTTGTTCCT